AGCCCGCGGCGGCCGCGGGAGGGAGAGAGGCGCAACATGCCCCTGCCCAGGAGCTCGCTGGTGAACTCGCCGCAGGTGGCAGGGCGTCGAAGCTTGGGGTCAACGTAGGGTTGGGGGATGCCGAGATCTCGTCGGAGGGCCGCTGCTCCCTCAGGTGGGCGAAGCACATGGGCCTTCCAATCCTGCAGCCGCAAGCGGTCGGCCTCCAGATGGGCGTCGCGCAGCGCGACAGGCGCCGAGCCGCCAGAAGGCTAGGGCACCAGGCCCTTGCTGCAGGAGACCACGTTGCCGCGCCCCGCGGAGTTGAGCGGGCAGCTGGAGCAGAGGTCGGAGAGCGAACTGGCGCGGGACATGGCAGCCGGCGGGCCGCCAAACTGGGCATACTGCGCAGCGATGTAGTCGAGAGACCGCTGCTGCAAAACTGAAGGGCGCTTCCGAGTGGGCGGCGCCCAACCCCCAGCGAGCCATTTGATCGCCTCGATGCCGTCGTTGGCCCGGCCGGTCCGAGCCAGAGCGCCGCCGCGACCGCCAGTATCTGGGGGAACTTCACAAGGTGGGAGAGGAAGAGGAAAGGCGCTTCGCTGACGACTGACAGCCATGGGCTGTCAGGAGCGAGGGGCCAGAGGGGAGTCCTCCAGGATGGCCGAGGTCCTGGCGACCGCTGCACTAACGCCGTTGGGGACCAGCTAAGACTTCGCAGGCTTGCCAGCGCCGCCGCCCTGTCCACCGCCCCGGCCACCTGCGGGCGGGCGGAGCAGCTGCCGCTCCTCGCGCGCCTTGCGGCGCTCCTTCGCGACGGCCGACTCGGCGGCAAGCTGCTTCGAGATCAGATCCACTCGGACAGGGCGGGGCAGACCATGGGCCCTCTGGTGGGCGGCATCCCCGTGAAGAAAACTGCTCGTCACCACCGCTGCCGAGTGACAGTGAGGAAACCAACTTGTCCTTGCGCCGCTCTTCGCAGAGCTGGAGCTGCCGCGCGACAAGCTCCAGGGGGCCAGGTTCGACCCGTCGAGCTGATCGTGCGACTGGGCAACCTGCATGATCTTCGAGAACTCGTGATGCATAGAGACGATGGGATCGTCAACGGGCACAATGGATCCCAGAGCCGCCTTCCAGGCGAGATGATGTCCCATCGGCGAGCCCCCGTTCTCGACCTGTTACGTCGCGACCCAGCGGTGCGTGGGCGGGCCCGGCACAGGCCAATCGGGGAAACTCGTCGGTCGCATGAGCTGCGCACTGTTCCTGAACTCGCGGCGCCGCTGGCCCTGCATGTCGTAGGCCGCAGGGAGCGTCCGCAGGTCCCCTGGTCCCGGGGCGGCGGCGCCGTCGAGGGGCGCGGGGGCTGCAGCAGCGACGACCTCTCCACCCGCGGCGGGGGGGGGCGGCCACCAGGGCGGCAAGCCCAGCGAGCCCGCCTCCGGCGCCTGGGGCTCCCGCTGCGCCGCCCGCGGCAGCTGGAGCGGGGGCGGCGGCGGCGCGCCCGCGGCAATGCCGCCTCCCAGAGGCGCGCCCCCAGCGGCCGCCGGGGGAGCGGGCTGGCCGCCGCCGCCAGCAGCGCCCGGAGGGAGTGCAGCGGGCCCCCGCCAGCGTCGCGCTCGTGCTCCGCCATCTTCGCGGCCCCGAGAGCAAAGGCCTGGGCAAACTGGGCGACCGTCGGCATGGCGGCGAAGTCGTACCGACGCAACCTAAGGTGGATGACGGCCCCCTGCGGGGCCGCGGCAGGGCCCCACTCCTTCCACCAGTTGCGGATGTCGGCGTTCCCCGCGTCACACACCTCGACGTAAACGTCGAAGTCGGGCGCGAGCACCGCGTATTGCTCGAGCCCTCGGGAGGACACCGCCACGACGATGCGTTTGTGTGCCAGCCACGGCCCAGGCTCATCGTACTCGATCCATATCTCATCGCCGACCGAGATCATGAGAAGTGGCCCAGCCCGCCGATCCGAGGCACGCGTCGGTCAGGCGAGTCCACACGCACAGGCTGTTGCGCGCCTGCGGGGAGATCACCGTCCAGGGCGGGCCGCCGAGCGCGGCCCCGGCAAGGGAGTCGGGCCGCCGCCGCGGCTAGCGAGAGCCCCCAGCGCAGGAGCTCGCAGGCCAGCAGCAGCAAGACGTAGAGCGCCGCCTCCCACGCCAGGGAAGGCCGCGACCCGCTGCCCGCGTCGCAGACGGGGGCACTGCGGGCAGGGCGAGGGGCAGGCGCGCGCAGCTTCCCTCGCGTCCAGGGCGGCCGCCAGGCAGTCTGCCAGCGGCACTTGGACCCCGGCGGCCTCGCCGAGCGCTGGGAACGGGCCCGCCTCCTCGGGCGGGAAGGCCGCCGCGGCGGCAGGCGCGACGGGAGCCGCGGGCACGGCAGGCTGCAGCCACCAGCGCACAAGATACAGGAGAAGGGCGTTGCTAGCGAGCGGGAGGCCGAGCCCGGAGCCGATGCGCATCCAGGCGGAGGCTTTTCTCTCCAGAAAAAGGCTTGAGCCGACGCGGTCGCGGCGAAGGCACGCGACCACGACGCCTCTCGGTTCCACTGAAAATGTGCAAGCACGGCCATCATCATCATCATCATCATCATCATCATCATCATCGTCATCATCATCATCATCATCATCATCATCATCACCATCACCATCACCATCACCATCACCATCATCATCACCATCTCCATCGTCATCATAATTGTCATTAATATCATCATGGTTTCTTCCATCGTCCTATCCCACCCCAAAACGATTTCAGATATCCCAAAGTAATGTCAAGGCGGCCGAAATAAGACAGGCGACGGGGTTTCAATCTCCTGTCGTCCCTCGAGCAACCGCTTCCGAGAATGATGGACTGGCACGGTGGCTGAAATTTCCGCAAGCTACTGAATTCACGAACAGCGAACATATCCTTATCCGCGCCCTCGCGGTCTGGACTCCTCGGCGTCATCCCGCGGATGCTCGATCGCACGGATGCGTCCTGCAAGGGGCATCCGCGAAAAAACGCTCCGTATCCACGGGGTCGCGGCCCAAGGGCCCGGCCCCCGAAGCCGCGGATGCGGATATGTTTTTCGCCCACGATGAAAACCTGGGGTCCCGGAAAAAGCCTATCAAGGAGCACTAAATCGGGTAGCGCCTAAACGGGGTAACAGACCCACCATGTGATCCAGGTGGAAAAACTGCAACGACCAGAACAAACATATGCACTGCATTTGTGTGCAACGCAACAAAAACTGCACTGCAATTTGTTGGCAACTAGTTGCGGAGAAACTGCAAGCAAGCCCCGCAGATCGGGTAACAGACAGACAGACAGACAGGCCCGCATTCCAGCCCCGAGGGGCGGTCCTCTCAGAGGGCAGGCGCATGGGACACGCAGTCCCTCGCATTGGAAAGACTGTGACTATCAATGCATTGACATGTGTGGAAAACTACATGCATGTACACTACGCACGGATCAATATGCTCACTCTCTCACAAACCCTTCCTCCAAAGCACTCCACATATCATGCTGCTTCGCGCAATGCTGCCATGACATGCCGGTATCTTGTTTGTTGATGTACTCCCGGATGTCGTCGTCCCAACGCCTCTTTGGCCTGCCAGTGGACCGAGGCGCTGTGTGCGAAGTCAACGACGGATCCCAAGACATCGCTTGCGAAACCCAACGGTCGGAGTCCATGTTTGCCACCCGGTATGCCCAGCGCCATTTCCTTCTCCTTTGCTGACGCACCCATGAATCAACATGGGCAGCCTGCAAATGTTCTTCTGTCATCCGTGTTGCTCTTCGGATGAAGTCTGCCCACAAAACAAAAAAATACAGTGCAGCAGCCGAAAATGTGCAACGCAGCCAGCATGTGGAAGGTGCTGCATCGAACGCAAAAGCCAAAGAAAACTGCACTGCAACAAAAGGGCCATTTGATGCCTCGAACCGGCCGTTTCCTGTTACCCCGTCTGCTGTTACCCCGTCTCTGGCTCCCTGAACCTAACTCTGTCAATGCAATCCGGGTCAAGAACATACTCCGCGCCAAACAGTAGAAGGTATATTACGGGATGTGCCCTCGTGCGGAGTAAAATCTATGTCCGCCTACTCCACATGGTCGCAGTAATGGTGGACCAGTATTGATGAACACTCTCTCTTCACGGCGATGAGGGGACATTACCGCGCGGTCTGTCCTTCGCGATTCCACAGAGCCAGGGACAAAACAATGATTTCTATGATCATGACCACGGCAATGGCATCGATACCGGGCCGGCGCTGAAGATGACGAGGGTCCTTCGCCTGCGCCGTCTTCGATGCTGGCGACAGCGGTGACTGCTGTAGGATGATAATGCTCAGGAGCGGCTCGACGTACATACCAAATCGGCCAAAGAGTTCGGTGCATACGGTCGGGAACTGTTGCAGCGGGACGCCCCAGCTTCCCAAGCTGTGGGACGCTGGAGCGTCTACGTATGCACCAAATTCCCTCGACGATTTCCTTGGCTCCGTGGCCGACCAAACGACGTGGTGTATGCATTGAGCCCGTCCGAACAATGACGATGACGATGGCGAATGTGTTGAAGATCGCGACCACGAATGCTCCACCGCACTTCCACGCCGCCCTTCTTTCCTGGAGAACAAGCAGGACACGTGCCCACGGAGAGCGGGGCACGGGGGAAAGAGTGCGCAGTGGTACACCGCCGTGGAAACCGTAGCAACACGTCTGTTAGCACGGGGAAGTGCCACACCCCGATCACGTTATCCAGCTCGACGCGCTGCGTGCGAGCCAGGACGCACGCTCCCGGGCAGGGTGGGCCGTCAGGCCAGGACGCCGACCAGCCAGGGAGGAGGAGGAGGAGGAGGAGGAGGAGGAGGAGGAGGAGGAGGAGGAGGAGGAGGAGGAGGAGGAGGAGGAGGAGGAGGAGGAGAAGGTGGGGGAGGAAGTTTGAGGACCACAACTCTCCCCCAGCAGTATCAGGCCTGGGGCGGAGAGACGGGGAGGCGCGCGGTGCGCTACGGCGCCGCGAGGCCGCGCGCGCCCCCGGGTCCCAGAAG